ATGGATTTATACATTGTTCGATCACACCATCTCGAGTGCAAACGTATTTAAATGTCGTTCACAAACAAAGAAGTAAAAGGCACTTCAATTCTAAAGTCAAATTTTAAACCTTTTGTAAAGGTGATATCGTGTTAAACGGGAAGACCCTTGTATAATTAACGAAGTTCTTGATCATAGTGTCTATCGATTGGAATAGTTGGATGAGATGCGGTTCGACAAGCCGTGGAATAATGTCTATAATTATGACTAGTTTAAATTCTAATAAACTCTTTACTTTAATGCATAGTCCAAGATATAATATTGAAATGGTTATTTTTCAATTTAAAGTCAAATAAAGCAAATATTTTCTGCTCTATTTTATCATAGATTAAATGGTTTCATACACTAACATCCTTTAAGTTGTGTTATAATACTAGACAACACATGTACGAGGTAGTCTAATCGATTTTTTTTGTAACAAAAATACATAATTATTCTATAAAATATTATACTATTATTTATGTAATTTTTTAGATTATGACATTTCAATTAAAAAAAAATATGCATGTGAATAACATTAAACCTAGCTAAAATTAGTGTAAAACAATGATTATGATTATATACACTCTATTGTATACAAAAATGCACATTCTTATTCTACCAACAATACTACCAAAACAGTGAATAACACAACAAAAGCCTCTTCATTACATCAGTGTCACGGGTAAATCACAGTTTTAGTCCACTAACTTATAGTGTTTCTCATTTTCACTCAAGAACTTATTGACATTCGAAATTGGTCAAATGAATCTTAAATTTTAGCCAATTTAAAATTTTAAAATTATTGGACCAATTTTGGGCCAAATAACTGCCGAACTCCGGTGTTCAAATAGAAATTGGACGAAGTTGGCTAAAATTGAAGAGTTAATGGAGCAATTTTGGACCCCAACAAGTTAATAGACAAAAATTAAAAACACGCTAAATTATTATTATTGGACCAAAACTGCAATTTTTCCTCAATCTCAGTCAGGACAAACTCTTCTTGGAGAAAATCCCTCCAATAAAGGGGATGATAGGCTTATTCTTCTTCTTCTTCTTGACCGACGAGTGTCTCCCGAGCACGGCCGCCTCTTCGGACGGCGGCTGCACCACCACGTGGACCACCGGCGAACGATTAGCAAACGACACGCATTTCCTCCCAAAACTTTCGTGGGGCCCACGGTCATTTCTAGGCATGACTGGCATTGTCTCGGTTCTCATTCTCTCGGTCACAAGTTCTTCGACGTACTTGAGGTCCTCCGCCTCGGGATCCGGAGCACGGGCCTTGAGCTTCTCGAGCTCCCGTCTGGTTTGCTCGAGTTCCGTTTGTAACGAGGAGAGGGAACGCGCCATGTGGACCGTCTTCTCCCGAGCTTTTTCGAGGCTTTGTGTCGTCCCCTCGAGCTCGGACGCCACCGCATTGTGGCCGTGCTTGGTCCTCGTCTTGTCATGCACCTATTTTCTCTACCATTGCCTTTTTAGTTGCTAATTTGTTTAAGGAAAAGCAACAATGATTCGCCAACACATAAACTAACTCATTTTGATGAATCCGATGTTAAAAGGTTAATAGAACATGTTTGAAGTGAAATTCAAGTTATTCCCTACTAATAATAACTAACAATTAATATTTTTAATGATTAAATGAATAAATGAGTTTTTTCAATACAAGAAGTTAAACTATCAATTCGGGGCCTGAAAGATTTTTTTTCTCAATTCGGGACCTGAATGTTATAAAACTATCAAATTAAGTCCTACAATTAACAACACTCATAAAACCATTAAATTAAGAGTTAATTTTAAGTTTTAAAACACTAAATTTGAAGAAAAATAAAAGATTGTTGCTTACTCACATAAAATAATAAGTAAACATTTGCATAATATTAAAAAAAATATATATTGGTGTTTAAAAACTTAAAATTAATTTTTAATTTAATGGTTTTATGAGTGTTGTTAATTGTAGGACTTAATTTGATAGTTTTATAACATTCAGGTCCCGAATTGAGAATAAAATCTTTCAGGGCCCGAATTGACAGTTTACCTATTTTTCGGGTCTTGTATATAAGGACCGTATATATAGGATTATAAACACTAATGTTCATTGGTCTTTTTAATTATTTATTTTAGTGATGAATTAGAAGTAAGTACGTAAATTACTTTTTTCTTACCTCTTTGAGCTTGTTAGCATATACCTCGCCGGCGAGAACCCTCTCGCCGAACAACATCACCGCCTCTTTGACCGATCGGAAAGGGGCACTCGTGTCAATCTCCGCCCTATTCGCCGCCATGTAGCTTAGCTAACTTCGCCGTTTATTTTCTATCTCAATATAAATGTTGTGCAGTAATCAATGGAATTATATATATGTGTGTTTGTGAGAGAATTAAAAGAAAGAAAAAGAGAAAAAAAAAAAGAGATAATGTTTGGTTGAGTGAAGTTAGTTTAGTAGACAAGCGGAGGTTCGTTTCTTGGCTTTCACTTCAATAAAATTCCGTGTAGTTGTATTTGCGTCTATTCAGTATTTACTACTAGTATTTACTTAATTATTTACTTTTGTTTTTCTTTTCTTTTTAATGGTAATTTATAGATAAAACGAAACCATATCTGTTTCGAATTTCGAGCTAAACAAGCTAAATGGAAAAAGTACTTAAACACCCGTTGGTCTTGTGTTAGGCCAGTTTAACCATTAGACCATCTACAATGGAGCGCCACATTCAAAGCGCTACTCTGTTGTGGCGTAGAGAATCCCTCCAGTGCTACTTTATATTTTAACGCTACTTCAAAGTTTGCTACAGTGTTGCGCCTGCAACGCCAGAATTTTTTTTTTATGTATTTTAAATGATATTTTTTTCGTATAATGTGTATTAATAAATATATTTTTTTACTGATACCTTTGTGTAATGTAATTGAAAGATATATTTTATTTTGGCATTAGTTCGAAGGTTCGAACAAGCACCTGGAACTACAGAAACAGGGAAGATCTTTTGCTTATTTGTTCCCTTAATTACAGTTATTTTATATTCCATAAATAAGATATTATGGATCTTATTATGGTACTTTGTTTTGTAGGAAATCGGATGAGATAAGGAAAGGAGAGGCATGTATGATAAAGAGATCAAGGAGGGAGAGAGAAGAAGATTCACTTACCAAATTCTCATGCTATAATCAAGGAAGGAAATCAAGGTTGGAGTCCTATACCTTGTAGAAGACTCCAACCCTAAGGAGACTACTTTAAATACCCGTATGCAAGCTCTCATTGCGGCTGCTGAGTTTTGAAGATTTATAGAGCAATAATTGAGCTTCGTGTATTCTGTTTTTATTGAGTTGAACACAGTTCAGTCTGAGAGTTCGAACTAGCTCAAAGACTGAAGCTGTTTTATTTTGTTCTTTGTGTTTCATCCAAAAACTATTTTACAGCTTATACACTTAGGGAGTAAGTGTAGGTTTTTAAAAGTCCACGGGACGTGGCCGGAGAATTAGTTGATAGGATCTGTGTAGTGTTGGCTAGGCTTGAAGGGAGTTCGAGTCGTTGTAAGTCCAAACTATGTGTATGTTTGATCTATAAATGAAAGAGCTCTGAGGGGAAGTGGGACGCTTCCCTGAAGAGTTTTAAAATCTTCGGTTTATTGCTTCCGCATTTTTTAGTTCATACCATCGATAAGCGCACTCCGTAGGAATTATTCGTTTCAATTGGCACCAGAGCAGTGTTCCTGTTCTGATTACGGGATAAAGATCTTTGGGACTGTGTATCGGGCACCATGAGTCATGATGGGATGTCTGTTACGCGCCCTCCGTTTCTTGATGGTTCTAACTACTCATACTGGAAATCCATGATGGTGATCTTCCTTCGATCCCTTGGTAAAGGAACATGGCAGGCGGTGGAAAATGGTTGGACTTTACCACTTCAAGAAAAAGTTCCTGCTGAAACTAAGGGTGGTGATTCATCGGATGGGAAGTCATCAACCACCAAAGTATTGGTTGAGAAACTAAGGAGCATCTGGACCGACGATGAGAGGCAAGCAGAAGAGGCTAACTTTCGAGCCT